CCTACTGAAGAAGGTCCAACATTATAGGGTTCTTAAGGGAGCGGGCCTCATGGGGGTAGGTAGTTAGTGAACCTTAGGGAAGCTTCGGGAGCCTTAGCGACTAGTGGCTAGCGGGAAGCACTAGGGAACATTGGGTTACATTTCCCCCTTGACCCCCCCCCCCACCGCTCTCGCTGAAGAACCCTATAATTGCTGGGTGTTGTGTCCAGGGCAGGGTATTAGGGGTGATAATCCCCATCCACATTCCCGGCCTGAGTTGGCGCCCGTCGCAAAACAAAGTACACGCAAACCATATGGGGCGCTTTTCGCACCTAAATCGTAAGCCCCAAATTGCCCTACACTGGCATTGAACCCGCTCAAAACCATAAATCCTAAGCCCTACGCACGTAAGTCTGGGCACTAAAACATACAAGTATCAAAAAAACGAACCTTAACATCCCTAAACCCTTAACCCTATAAGCCCCCAAACCCCTAAACACAGCTTAAAATCCCTAAACGCCCGCTCAGCTGTCTGGCATGACCATGTCCAGCGGGCAGAAGACGTAGTTTTCGGCTTCGAGCCCCTGCAGGTAAGTTCGGGGGTTTACGGTGCAGGGTTTGGGGTTTAGAGTTTAGGGTCCCAAAACCCGAAACTCAGACTCCTCCCCTCCCCCCTTCTCCAAGTGCCCTTGTAACAGCGCCAATTCAGATGCACTGATACTTGTGGTGGAGGGGGGGGAGGAGGGGGGAGGAGGGGGGAGGGGGAGGTGTGTCCAGGCTATTTGTGTGGATTGGTTCAGGGTTTAAGGTGTGGGGTCAGGGATTCTAGGATGTAACCGTGCAAATCAACCCAAAACCCTAACGGGGCCCCGAAACCTTAAACCCTAAACCCTAAACCCTAAATACACCCTAAACCCAAACTTAGTAAGTATAGAGTTAGCCAGGTGGGTCATTGAGATAGGGTTCAGGGTTCAGGGTTTTAGGGCATAAAGGGGGGTCCGTGAAAACACACGCTCTCGGGTCTTGGGAGGTATGCAGAAGGACCTGGCCTTGGGCACAAAGCTCCCAGCACACAAAGATCCGGTGCTAGGGTTTGGGTTTGTGGGGTTTAGGACTTAGGGTTTGGGCTTTGGGGGGTTTAGGGTTTAGGGTTTTGGGTTTGGGGTTTAGGGTTTAGGGTTTAGGGCTTAGGGGTTAGGGCAAAGGGAAGCCTACGGTACTCGTACCTCCTGGACGCGATCCATGGGAGATACATCAGCTTCCTGGCTTAAGAAGGGCAGCTCGAATGCTCAGGAAACTTGGTACGTATAGTAAGGTTTAGGGTTTAGGGTTTCGGGTTTAGGGTTTAGGGTTTAAAGTTCATGGTTTGGGGACTAGAGCTTATAAGGGTCTAGTGCTTCTTGAGGGTTTAGGGCTTAGGGTGTAGAGATCAGATAAGGAAATCAGGGTAAAGTAGTTCAGGGGCTTATGGCTTCAGGGTTTAGGGAATAGTAGTTTCGAGTTTAGGGTTTCAGGGTTTGGGGTCTTCGGGCGTCAGGGTTTCGGACATAGCAGTTTAGGGTCTTGGAGTTTCAGGGTTCAAGGTATAGCAGCTTGGGTTTTACGTATAGCAGTTTAAGGCTTTAGGGCTTAAGACGTTTGAGGCTTGTGGGGGGCGCACGGAGGTGCCCCCGGCCCAACCCTTCCCCCCCACCCCCCGCCTTAACCCTAAGCCCGAAACCACTTTGAGCCATAGCTTAGGCTCGACAAGCACCTTAGCAACCCCAAACCCAAAACTCTAGACCCTATAACCCCCATTTATAACCCTAAACCCTAAACTCTATAACCCTATAACCCCCATTTATAACCCTAAACCCTAAACTCTATAACCCTGCAAAGCCCCTATAACCCCCCATTTATAACCCTAAACCCTAAACCCTAAACCCTAAACCCTAAACCCTAAACTCTATAACCCCTAAAAAGCGAAACCCTTAACCCTGAAATCCCGGGAGCCCGAAGTCGCAAGCCCAGGGCTGCTTCTGAAAAAAAGGGTTTAGGGTTTAGGGTTTAGGCTTTAGGGTTTGGGGTTTAGGGTTTAGGGTTTAGGGTTTCGGGTTTCGGGTTTAGGGTCCCCTATTGGGAACACCAAATTTCTCACGCTCCCAAAGAAGGGCACTCTTATGATCAGCTCTACCAGGGACTCTTTTTACCTACAGTTTGTAAGAGTTTTACCTACTAAGTAGGGGGTACCTACTACTAAACTATAGCGATGATCCCAGGAAGGGCTTAGGGACAAGAGCGCGGCCCAAGATCCTCCTAACAGGGCTACGACGCTCCTCATATGGCGCCCTACATCCACGGACAGTTTCTTGAATACACCCTCTCCGGATAAGAGCAGTTTCGGGTTACTTCTTTGGGGGGGCCCTATACCAAAAAAACACAAGCTATGGGCAAATCTGGGACATGTGCGGGTTTGGGCCTTTGAAAGTTCTATTTCTGATGCTTTCATATTGGGTCTGGGAACCCTAAACCCTAAACCCTAAACCCTAAACCCTGAACCCTAAACCCTAAACCCTAAACCCTAAACCCTAAACCCTAAACCCTCTACCCTATACCCTGCGCCGCAAAAGAGGTCATCTGTCCTTTCATGCCGTACCCTTCCCACTGGTCTCCTAAGCCTGCAGTGAACCCGCAACACATACCAAAAGATAAGACAGATGTTCGGGCTAAGGGTTTCGGGTTTAGGGTTTAGGGTTTAGGGTTTAAAGACTGTCATTATTTGGGCGAGATGAAGGTTCATTGTGGGCCATGCGCACAGGGTGGACCCCACGCAACCCGGCAACTGCATCAAGAAAAGCTGCAATGGAGGCCATGCTATTGCCTTCCTTCACAGACGGATAGGCAGTACTACCGTGTCGAGCTTTGCCTTTCTGGCGTCGGAGGAACTCGTCTGTCTCTTCTTTAAAAGTTGTGCCTGGATGCCTGGTGGGTTTGCCACGCTTCCTCTGTCTGTGCCATCCGAGTCATCAACATCAGTAACTCCGGGAATCCGGTCCCTGTCCAAGGCAACATGTTGCTAGCCAGCGCGCGCGTCAGCCTTTGCAAAGGACCTCACACCACTCCACGCAGACAGTGGACGGTAAGAGCTGCAAAGAAACAAGGTTAGAAAAAATAATAAGACATCAAAATAGTGAAACAGATAACAACAAAGTTAATGAAACTTCGTGCGTTCGTTGAACTCACTACATTTCCCTCTAAGTGCTCGTGGACGACGGTAAGAAGCAAGAAGTGTACAAAGGTGCCTCCGCGAGTGACCTTTTCATCACCTCTGTGAGAGATATGAAAAACTCACGATATTGACATGGGCTGTCTGGAAGATTAGGATGCTTCTCTCGCTCCTAAACCTTACCCATATAAACCTTTTTAAACCCTAAACCCGAAACTCCCCCACCCTGAACGCTAAAATTCCCCAGCATTCATACCCCAAACCCTGGCTTCCCTAAGGTCCCCTATAAATTACCTACCCGCAAGAACCCCCCCCTAAACCCTAAACCCTAAGCCCTGAACCCTAAACCTAAACCCTAAACCCTAAACCCTAAACCTAAACCCTAAACCTAAACCCTAAACCCTAAACCCTCCCTGAAGGACCCCAAAACCCCCCAACAAATATCAAGCAGGTGGCCTCTGCGGGACGGCACAAGCCCAGGACAGCACCGCCACTTCCTGGCGCCCGGATAGGGTTTAGGGTTTAGTAGGGTTTAGGGTTTAGGGTTTGGGGTTTGGGGTTTAGGGTTTAGGGTTTGGGGTTTGGGGGTTAGGGTGAAGAATTCAGGGGGCAAGCTCGAACTTTGAAGCTGCAGATTTTTCAGTTGCCCAAGGAAAATTTGTTTGTTTTCTCTTGTAAGAAGCCCTAAGAAAAGAAACGAGGGTACTACAAGCCGTGCCCACTCCCGCTCCCCCCCAACCTCAACCCTAAACCCTAAGCCCCCAAACCCTAAACCCTCAACCCGAAACCCAAAACTTCTTTACACCCTAAACCCTAAAACTCCGAAACTGCAAAGCCCTCAAAGCCTGGGAACTTCACGGCGCAGTCGCAACTCCTCACAGGAGTGGCCGGTCATGGAGCTTCAGGGGTCTAGGAACTTGTGTTGATGCTCGGGATGTTTAGGGTTTAGGGTTGGACTTCACTTGGCTCCCCCTGGCTGGAGTGTGAGTAGATTAGCCTTCGAGTGATTAGAGGAGGTTGACTAGACAATGTTTTTGAGAAAGTCTGAGCCCAAGAGTACTGTAGTTGGGTATTGTGGAATGCGGGGCTTAGGACGCAGGGTTTCTGTCTTGGGCGGTACTCACTTCTAGGCGTTCTGCATGCGGCAACAAGGGGGTGACAAGCTACTACCCTCAAAGTAACCTAAATACCGTGAAAACAGGGAAATCTACCAAGAACAAGTGGGTAACAAGTCCGTTTTGGAAAAGGGTATACGGCACTAGGCATTGCGGCTTACCTACGGTTGGTAGGGTAGGGGTTTCGGGAATCCGGGCAAACCGTAATCGTAAACTGTAAACTTGTATATCCCAACTATACACCCAAACCTGCGGGAAGAAATCTTGAAGCTGGTTTCAGGACTACAGGAGTCTAATAGAGTTTATAGGGGGTCCCAAGAACCCTGATCTGTCAAGCCAATAGACAGATAGTTTGGCAAGATGTTACCTTTGTTGCTGAGATGTATCCCCTCATGGTTGCCTTACCTCGGATCACCAGGCCCTAAACCCTAAACCCTAAACCCAAAACCCTAAACCCTAAACCCTGAACCCTAACCCTAAACCCTAACCCTAAACCCTAAAACCCACTGATAGCTGCCCTTGCGCCGGCTACTGGTCGGAGAGTGGTCTAGGGTCACGGCTCACGGCGCTTCGATCTTAAGTACACATAGCCTAGGACGGCCTTAAGACCCTTATTCCGAACCATGATCCTCGCAAACCCACTGAGGGAAAATGTACAATGTCCCTAGTAGCCCAGGGGCTCATTTTTTCGGGGCCTGCCTTCAGAGCTTGCTACCATGCCGCCCATCTCCTTCGGAGAATCGCCTTGCCCCTGCCACCGTCTCACCAGAGGCGATGGTCTTCATTCCCAGGGCAAACTCTTCCTTCAATGCCTCGTGCAACGGCAGCGCCCACTGCTTGAGCATGCTTTCGCGGTCGTTCTGCATGCACTCCTGCGGATGCATGGCGATCAGGCCGGCGAGAGCCTGCGCAGCCTCGACTACGTTTCCGCCCTCGGGCACGATGCGATTGGCGAGCCCCATCGACAGCGCCTCCTCAGACTTCACCTAGGGCTTTCCGAAAACGGGAGGCAATAGGTCCCTTTAAGGGGAGTCTATTCTATTTGGGGTACAAGAGGGGTATACCCCTATTTTGGGAAAAAAGACCACCTCACGCCCGCTGAGGATGAGATCCGCAGCACGGGACTGGCCGATGAGCCGCGGAAGCCGTACAGTGCCCCCATCGATCAGCGGCACGCCAAAACCTTGGGGACGAAATGAGCCCTAAAAGGGTTTATGGTTCCCTAAAAGGGTTTATGGTTCACATACCCTAATCGGAATTATATTAGTATAGGGTATATGACCCCCCCATTTTAGGGTACATTTCGTCCCCAAGGAACGTCGGCAAAAGACGCCGAAGACAGCGTCGTGTGCGACGACTCGAAGATCGGCCCACAAAGCAAGCTCGAGACCACCAGCGACCGCGTAGCCCTCGACGGCCGCGATGACGGGCTTTCGCAGCTGCAGCCTTGTGGGCCCCATGGGCCCATAATGGCTCAGGTCGTGCTGAACATCCTTCCCAAGCTCCCCGGACACCGCCTTGAGGTCTGCGCCCGCGCAGAAGTTGCCCCCGGAGCCGTGCAGCACGGCCACACGTTGGGACGCATCCGCGTCAAAGGCCTCGAAGGCGGCACGCAAAGCGGCCGCAGTCGGTCCATCAACAGCATTTCGGACAGCTGGGCGGTTGATGCAAACCGTTGTGACGGAACCATGGCGGGAGACCAGGACCGTGGCGGTGCCCGAAGCCATTGCGAGGTGCACTCCCCTAGCAAGATCCTTGGGGACGAAATGAACCCTAAAAGGGTTTATGGTTCATATACCCTAATAGGAATTTTAGTAGTATAGGGTATATGACCCACATTTTAGGGTACATTTCGTCCCCAAGGATTGATGCTCCAGCGGCTCTACCGTTGATCAGGCCCTGGAGGCCCCTTGGATGGCCCTTAAAACCCTCTGAAGCATACTCCTGAACATGATCCTCCCAAAACAAAATAAGGGAAAATACTACATGTCCCAATTGGGGCCTACCGAGGCCCATAAACCACCTAAGCGTGAAGGCCCTAGACCTGTCTACCTTAATCGGGTTTAGGGTTTAGGGTTTTGGGTTTAGGGTTTAGGGTTTATGAGGCAGGTAAGCCGTGCCGGGTTCGGGGGGGAAGAGGGGTACTGCTGTGGACCACTTCGAAAAAGGGCACGCGCCTGCAATGGAATCACAACGAAAGGACGCTGACCTGGACAACTTGAAAGCCCGAGACCTTGTTCAAATTCTTGATAGGCCGTCTACATATTAAATATATAGATCACATATGCACATATACATATAGAACAGATATAGCAGCCTGTACTAAACCACCCAAACAACCAGAAACCTTGAACGCCGACTCTAACGCAAACATGCTTGCCAAACACTTTCCCACGTCACCTGTCTAAAAAGGTACCCCAAACACCCGGAGCCCTAACAATCCGGTTCATTTAGGACGTGCCTTGTGTATTTAAGGGGTTAGGGATTATACTTGGAGGTTCAGGTACTTACTAACCAATTATAACTGTACTGTACTTATCACCCACTTAGAAGCCCCTTCAATACCCCAATATGGTTCTAAGTACAGTTTCAAGTACAGCTAGAATTGGTTACTAAGTGCCATGAACCTCCAAGTAGGAGGGGGGGAAACCCTAAGCCCTAAACCTTAAGCCCTAAACTCTACACCCTCAACCCGAAACCCCTCAATGTTGGGGTTTAGGGTTATAGGCTTTGTAAAGTTCTGTTTAAGGGTTTGGGGGTAGTTTTCGGCCTGCAGATGTCCACCATCTGGAGGTTCTTCTTACCCAGGCATGCGTCACCGTAGAGGGACCTGGCTCGTTCTAAAGCTTGTGAGTTCGACCTGCGTACCCTACATAGATAATTGCCTAGAGTACCCTATATGTATATATACATATGTGTATGTATGAACCGTGTTCCATGGGTTTTCGGGTTTAAGGATTTCAGGGTTTGGGGGCTTTGGGGTTTTTAAGAGGTTGTAACGCTTCAAGGGATTTAGGGTGTGGATCTTTTGACAGTCCACCTAGGACCTAGGGCCCTAAACACTTAAAAACCCTAAACCCTTATAAAACCCTAAACCCTACACCGGGCAGAATGTATTCTAGGGGCACGCTCCAACCCTACGATTCTAACTATACATGTGACCCAAGAGTAGCCTGGGAACAAAAACGGTGCCCCATTTTGCTTTAAGGGTTTATAGATTTGTAGAGTTTGCAGGGTTTGTAGGGTTTTGAGGGTTTACAGAGTTCATGGGTTTTGCAGGGTTTATAGGGTTTATGAGGGGTTATAGGGCTTTATGGGGGTTTATGGGGTTTTCTAGGCGGGTCCCAAAATGAGCTACCCTGATAAGAAGGGTAGCTCATTTTGGGACCCGTAGCGCGGCCCTAGCTGGTAAGAAGCAGAGTTGCCAAAGGCTGTGATTCAGGGTTTAGGGTGGATGGCTTCGGCAATATGTCCCTTTAACTACAGTTAGTATACTCGGACCGGGAGTAGCCCATAAACCCCTATAAGCCCTACAAGCGCCGAACCTCTATAAACCCCCATAAGCCCCTAAAACAGCGCCTATAAACCCCTAGAAACCCTACAAGGCCCCCTATACAACCCCTATTCAAGCCTTCGCCCGAACCTCCGACCCTAAACCCTATAAACTATAAACCCCCATAAACCCCTATAAACCCCTATAAACCCCTATAAACCCCCATAAACCCCTTTAAAACCCCTATAGACCTCCAAAAAAAGACCCCCTAATAAACCCCCCCTGATAAGCCATAAAAAAACCCTTCGCCCGAACCTCCGCAAGTTGAAGTTCTCGTCCATGAGGTCCGCCAGCGCGGCGTGATCGCGGTTGTCGATGGCGGCCCGGGCCTTCGTACACTGGGCTTTTTTTTTTTTTTTGGGGGGGGGGGGGGGGGGGGGGGGGGGGGGGGGGGTTAGGGTCGAGGGTTCTCCAAGAGCGAGATAGGGTTCAAATTTGGGGTTTAGGGTTTAGGGTTTAGGGTTCAGGGTTTAGGTAGGGGGGTTTAGGGTTTCTGATGCCAAGGGTTTCAGGATTCTGAAGTGTGGGCCCGTAGATTTTGTAGGGTAGAAGGGGTTGCAACCCTATACCCGAACCCCGAAACCCTAAACCCTAAACCCTAAACCGAAACCCTAACCCTAAACAAAAATTGGGCTCCGAAGTCTTGAGACGAGAGTCGCGTGTTTACGGGGCAGAGCTGCGAGAGCTTCCACCCTATCACTAGCTGAAGGCTCCCATGCTGTTCCTGTTTGGGGTTTCGGGCTTAGGGTTTAAGGGTTTAGGGTTTAGGGGTTTAGGTTTCGGGTTTAGGGTGTTGTACTTTGTTAGTATATACTTGGGCCCCGAATTCCCTATAGAGGAAGCACTTGAAGGCAAACTTTAGGTACATGGACCCTTAGGATGTAGTTGTTTTTTGGGGGTGAGAATTCCCATTGCTCAAGCCTCGTTTCCAGGAAATCCTCTGGCGTAAGGCACGGCTTGAGAAAGAGCTTGAACCAAGATGGGACTCTTGAGCTCCAGACATAAAGCTCGATGAGGTAGGAAAACTTCCTCAGTCCTTTCAGGCTCTTTGTCTCAAGCTGGAACTGGTCCATTGCATGTCGGAGGTCTCATTCACGACTCTTCGGATGAGGTCTGAGACATCATCAACGGAGATGCAAGCCGAGGCGTTCAGCGTTTGACATTCTACTACATCGTCCATGAACGCAATTTTTCTCCCTCCTTCCCAACAAGTCCCATCCTGTGGAGAAGTTGCTGCACCCTCGTGCACTTGAACCATAAACCCTTTTGAGGTTCGTTTGGCCCCCAAAGAATCTAGGAATACACCCTAAACCCTAGACCCTAGACCCTAAACCCTAAACCCTAAACTCTAAACCCTAAACCCTAAACCCTTGCAGAGTCTTCGCCTAGTATGTGAAGGGCCTTCACCGTCAGCTCCCCGAAGCTCTTCATGCCGGCAACGACCTGCAGCTCGAGAAGCTCCGGCCCGGGTTTTAGCGTTTAGGGTCTAGGGTTTAGGGTTTGGGGTTTAGGAGTTAGGATTTAGGGTTTAGGTCCTACTTTAGGGTTGCTGGAGGCCCAAGCCATACCATGTAAAGCAGGCTGGCTTATTTTTCTAGCATATCCCAAGACCCAAAACTTGGGATGTTCCCCCCTTAGAACATTCCTGAATTAGGGATTATCATACTACTATAATCCCCATTACAGGCTGCTAGTATAAGGGGAACATCCCAAGACCCAAAACCCTCTAAACCCTAAACCCTAAACCCTAAGCCCTTGCGCCTCCGCATCCCCGGCATCCCAGCGCGCGCGGATGTTGGAGTGGATCTGGCAGCTCCGGAGGCTCGAGGTTAAAAATTCGCTCTGACAGGGTTTGGGGGGTTTAGGATTTAAGGTTTGGGGTTTAGGGTTCAGGGTTGAGGGTTTAGGGTTAAGGGTGTAGGGTGTAGGGTTTAGAAGGGTTTGGGGTGTGGATGGTTTTTTGACACTATCAAGGGCTCAGGTCCGGGGAAGGTGTTGGGAAAAGTCTTCGGAATTGTTGGCCTAAGTTTCGAGGAGTTTCTTCTCTTACTTTGGAAAAAGCTCCAAGTTGCAGGCGCTTGACAGTTTAGGTGTGCCTGGGCTTAGGGGCTGGGATTGATATGAAGCAGGGTTGATATGAGTGTTTAT